TGCCTGAATCTGGGCGTGTTCGAGGAAAAACAAAAAAAAAAAAAAAAACAATTGCCTGAATCTGGGCGTGTTCGAGGACAGGAGCAGGAAATCGAGATMGAACTGCTTTTCTGTATCTCTGCATAAAACATAGTCAGATTCAGGATTTCTATCCTATCCCCTTTGCTAGTGGGACCACGGCCCAGGAGGCAAAAAGAAAAAAAAAAAAAAAAAAAAACAAAAAGCGAGAAACAACAAAAAAAAAAAAAAAAAAAAAAAAAAAAAAAAAAAGCACCCGCGCTTATCAACTGCGGGCGCTTCGAGATATTCCCTCGCATCGACGCCCGCCGCCACTCCGCCCCTTGGGCGCACTCTCTCGTTTCCTGGCACGCTCTTAACATTTCGGTACGCGCGCCTCTCTGCACGCCCCCCCCCCCTCGATCGCCTCCATCCGCCGGCCTGCAGGAAAACTTCACCCCCAAGTCCGGCGCGGAGCGGACCATCGACCTCCCCCCGCGGCCAATGCTGCTTAAGGGTTAGGATTATTATTATTATTTTTGTAGTTATTATTATTATTATTATTATTATTATTATTATTATTTTGTTATGATACAATCATTACTACTATGATGTTTTAATCCTAGTAGTTAAAGTGTTAGAGGGAAGACAAATGATCAGGTGGTCTTCAAGGAGTGAGGCGCTGTGTGGGGTAATCAAGGTTTGATTGAGGGTGGCGAGTTACGTACCTGGTACTTTAAGAGAGGTCACTGATGGTGTGGACAGTCATGTACATTGGTCTTCGTGATCCGAAGTGACCCTGTTATGTGAACCAGCTGTAGCGTAGGAGACTATGGTAGAGTGGGCTGGACGCTATGCGCCGGACACAGAGAGCGACTCTGGATACTGTGTTGGTGTGGCCTACGGGCTTGGACATTGGCTCAATACTTTATTGTATTGCTCTTTATGGTTGGTTTTCTCGGTGCATTTGTACTCTCTACTTGGGATACTACTACTTGGTCAGTTGTGTGATTTCGCAACTTGTTTTCTGTATATCGCTCACACTCATATTCCTTTCATTTGTTTGTATTAATAACTATTATTATTATTATTATTATTATTATTATTGAAATGAACCTAAACAGAAAGACGTGCATCAGACGTCATAATACCAATAGACTTAGATTTGCACAGTGCTCTCAGAAAGCGTGAATGTGATGTCTAATACAATGTCTCGTTACCAACCGACGAAGAGAGAAAAAGGGGAATAGACAAAAGAGACAGCGTGGCCAATGCCACGTCAGCAGCAGGTGTGCACAGGTGGCCTGCACCACATCAGCACTACAGACAGGTGGCCTATGCCACAGCAGCAGAAACAGGTGGCCTGAGCCACAACAACAATGTCGGCAGGTGGTCGATGCCACAACAATACTATACCCAAGTGGCAGCGCCGCATTGTCAAAACGGACAAGTGGCCTATGCCACAACAACACTATAGACAGGTAGCAGCGCCGCATTATCAAAACGGACAGATGGCTTGTGCCACAACCGCAATGCAGACAAGTGGCCTGCGCCACATCAGCGAGGTCAACAGATGACCTGCACCACATCAGCAATGCCTGACGCATAGAGTAGTCATCGCCGACATGTTGCCACAGTCCGGCGTCATTCGCAGTACTAGCGCACAACCAGCGTCAAACCGACGTCAAGGCATCATACCCAGGTTGGACGCATGCGTCCTGAAAAGGCCAAGCATTATGCCGTGTTTGACGAGGCTGTCTGGTCTCCGGTCCCTCTCACGCTGTCATACAGATTGACTCGGAACGAGGGACCTGGACTGTGTACAACTGCGGACTCCCGCTTGATCCAGCAACTGTCAAGGTACCTGCACACAGAAAAAACACAGAGACACAGACATACAGCGCACAATC